ATTTAGCACTCTCAAATATCCGTAAATATTATTCATTTGTTTCAGTAAATATCATAAAAAAGATTTATCAGTCTTGAATAGAAAGATTGATGGTACTAATGATTAATGATATTCCAGGCGATATTCGCTGGTTGATTGAAGCAAAAGTTCGATTGTCTGGAGAGTTTCCAATTTTATATAAATATATGCCAGGTATGGGTAAGAGTATTTTTGCAAAGACACGAAGAGCAAAAATATTAGGTGGATGCTTCAAATGCGCTCGATTGACTTGTGACACACGATGTAAATCTGTGGGGTTCATGTCCAAAAATCGAGAAGATAAAATAACATTTATAAAGGCAGGATTGAGTAAAGAGTCTATGGATCAAACGGTTCATCATATTCTTGAGACACATCCTAGTGGTTATATGCATCGTGAGCTTATGTCTCTATGGATTCGTTTCAAAAATGAAGAAGAACGTTATAGTCTCAAAAACATTGTTTCAAAAGATCAAGTTTGTAAAAATTGCTCTTATTAGTGTGAAAAATCATATTAATACAGTTTAGTAGTTGCACTGTAATTTCCAAAAAATCTTATAGCTGCCGACAGATAAGATTTATTTAAAATCCAACACCTTATCTATCATTTGCAATTGTCAGAAAAAAAAACAGAAAAAAATTTATCGTTTTGTAAAACTTTCCTTTTAAATAGCGATTCGTTCATCATAATCTTATGCCTCACAAAATTTTGAAAAATTCAGTTTATCAATAAATAGATGGATGTTTCAGAGTCTTCACAAGGTAATAGTTTTCTTCAACCGATCAAACCGTGTGTGTTCTTGGTGGTTCTAGACTGGTAAGTTTTTCTTAAAATGTTGATATTGTAAGTCAGTTAGTAAGGGATATGGGGAATCAGAAAATCAATTTACTGTATGGAGGGACTAACATCACTTTCTTTGATAATCTTTTATTGACTGGAAAATATTTTGAGATAAAAGTAAAAAGTATCATACCTTTTCATAGAGCTTCAACAAGGGTCATCAAGGATTCCATAAGCATGATGCTAATTCATTCTATATATGATTGTACGATGGATATAGTGAACAAGAGCGATGCTTTTATCATTCTTCCAGGAGGTTATGAAACGCTAATGACAATGTTCACCATTGTTTCTTGGGCGGAATTGAAACTTCATAACAAGCCCATAGGTCTATTGAATTTTAATAATTTCTTTCATGGTTTGCTTGGATTTTTAGACCAAGGAGTATATCAAACCTTTATATCTCCTCCAACGAGAGAAGTATTCAAATCTGCTGACACATCTATTGAACTTATCAAAAAGCTTCAAGAATGCATCACCGTTCAAGATTTTGTGAAAACACAAGGGGTCAAGTGAAAAAGAACTTTTGATCCTTTAGATCTCTCATTATGAACCCAGATAACAATAATGGGTGGCAAAGTTACAGAGTTTTATACTCTCGAGACGCACCCTTCTTTTATGGGTTCTATTATATAATATTTTCGCATTTTATATTTATCGAGGATTTACTACCTCTTATACATATTTCCATCATATGTACATTCTGTACTTGTTTCTCAATAATAATAATATTATTTTTGCTTTTCCACAAGATAAGTGTGAAGTACTTCATGACAACAATTATTGTCATGTGTGCTTCTTCTGGAGCACATCATTTTAATCTATATGATCTCATATTATCAATGTGATTTTGTCATCAGATATCTTCCCTTAGACTCATAAACTATATTGAGAAATCATTTCGTGTGATCACCCATAACTGGTAGCTTTTGATACCACTTTCTCAAATTGTTCAATTTTCTAATGATAGCTTATGATACCACTTCATCATTTAATTTATCAGTGGTAGCTTCAAGTATCACTATACCACGATATCATCATTATGTGGTAGCTTTTGTTATCATATGGTAACTTCTGGTACCATCTCATCAATTTTTGTTACTCCATAAATTTGGAGAATCAGCTATTTTTCAGGATCATGTTAGTCC